ATTTTCTTTTAATAGTGTAGTCCCTGGTAAGTTGACCACATTCCAGTGGAACACCATGCATCCAAGAATATATGGGCTGCACAAATTGAACTTGATGGGTAAAAAATTAACAAAAAAAAGGGGGTGACACAAAGTCGGGTCTGTTAGGGAAGGGGACATAAATCTGGGAGGAATTTGGGGAAGGCAGGGTAAAACACATTGTGCAAAATTCTTCAAAGGCAAAACAAAACAAAACCCTAAAATACAAATTAACTTAAAAGGGGAGAGACTAAAAATTGAGAATACCATTGAGGAGACCTGTATACTAGACCAGTTGTGAGCCTCTATGATAATCACCATGTCCATAAAGTAAAAGCGAATAAGGCTTGAGAGGTGCATTTATCCATGGGTATAACGGAGAGTCACTAGGAGTCAGTTGAGTACAATGTCCGTTTAGCAGCATAGTAGACGTTCTCCTCGAGGGCCTGTGACTCCTCAATGCCCTTCTCAATTGCCAAGGGAAGTATTTTCCCAGGTTCAACTGCCAAGGTATACAGAAAACACTATAGCTGTGGTAGAAGGGGGGCAGATTATAGTTTGAGCTGACAGCAGAACTTGGCAGCATTGTGCATGTGGTACTGGTTTTGCATGCATGCAGAATATTAGACATAAGGACTTAGAGAGGCTTCTACCAAGATTCCAGGCAGCCATATAGAAGCTGGGCTTCCTGTGGCAGGGTAGATTACCTGTAAGGGTGCTGTGAGAGGTCATAAAATTGTGAAGATGAAACGTAAGTTGTAGTGTTACAACACAGAAATGAGAAAAAATGACTTATACAGTTATTGGCTGGTATTTGTATCTGTCATATCTTTAGCTTGGACATATGTAAAACATTCTCCTAAATCAGTGATTCTCAGACATACTTATTTGCAGATGTTTTGGCTTCTAAATAACTGTTGATAGCTTGCTTTGTCTGTCCATATGTTTGTCCATCTGTCCTGTATGTCTGTCTGTTTATATTTATTTGTTTTTGTGTGTACATATCTGTTTGGAGGCCAGGGATGATGTCAGGTGTCTTTTGCTATTGTTCCTCATCGTATTTTTTGAGGTCTCACTGAATCTGGTCCTGGTAGATTCTGACAGATTGGTTGGATAACAAATCCCAGGGATCCTCCTTATGTCTGTCTCCATGGTGCTAGGATTCCAAGTGTGCACTGCTATGGAGGGCAGTTTTATGTGAGTTCTGGGTGACTAGACTCAGGTTTTCAGGCTTGTGGAGCAAGTATTTGCCAACTGGGCCATCTCCCCAACATCTCCATTTTTCACTCTCACTAATACTGTACATTCCTGCTAACAATTGCCACCAACAGTATACAGTTTGTCTACATTTTTACCAAGAACAGCTATTGCTGTTGAGATAGTAACATTATCTTGCCGTGGCTTTGTTTTGTAGCCCTTTTACAATGAGTGTTGTTAACATCTGTTCATGTGGCTGTCAGCTCTTTGTATCTCTTATTTGGAGAAATACATCTTCATGTTCTTTAAATCAGCATGGCATTTTGGGGGTGGTGGTGGTGGTGGTGTGTATGTCTTGCCATAATAGGAATCAAACCCAGGGTCTTATTCATGCTAGACAAATGCTATGCACTGAAGTTACATATTCATTAATTCTTGAAAATGTCTGCATTAGTTTTCATAAGAGATAACTCATTTGTGTTTTTTTTTTAACTTGATCTTTTTGTTCTTTCCCCTCCCCTCCCCACTCTTCCTCCTTCCTTCCTTCTTTCCTTCCTTCTGTATGGATATTTTCCCGGCATCCATGTCTGTGTGCCACATGCATGCCTAGTGCCTGCAGAGGCCAATTACAGGCAGTTGTGAACTGCTGTGAGGTGCTGGAAATTGAACCTTGGTTCTCTTTACTGCTGAGTCATCTCTTCAGTCTCTTGTAATGTTGTTTTCAGCTTTGATATTATAGTAATGCTGGCTGGGAAATTTTCTTTCTTATTTCTTCTCTTTTTATTTTTTGTAAACATTTGAAGAGGTCTAATATTGATTCAACTTTCTTTCTCATATATCTATTCCAATTTTCTGTTTCTTCATGATTTCGTATTGGTAGGTTTTATACATTTACTGAAATTTATCTGGTTCACTCACCTGGTCAGTATACAACTGTTAGCAGTGCCTCCACCCCCATCTCCCCTTTACTGCTCTAGAACCTGTGGCAATGCCCTCCCTTCCATTTGTGGTTTTACTGACTTCAGTTTTCTTGTCCATGTAGCTAAAGATTTGCTAGTTTTGTTGATATTGTCAAAGAAGCATCTTTGCTTTCTTTGGATTCTCTCTTGTTTTCCTATTCTGTCATTGGCTTACTCTAATAATTGCATTGTTTTCTGGGAGCCTTGGATTTAGTTTGTTCTTTTCTTTGTAGTTCCTTAGATTGTAAAGTTATATTATCAGCTTGAGCTTTTTTAGCTATTGTAGGTATAGATTTCCCTCTTTGCAACTACTCTCACTATGACTCATAAATTTGTGTTTTCCTTTTCTAATTTACTTATGATTTTTGGATTTATGAATTATTTAAGGGAACATACTTCAGTTTCTGCATTTTATGAATTTTGCAGTTTTATTTTTTTTCTGATTTCTAATTTCATTATAAAAAAGATCAAAGAAGATACTTTGTATACTATCTTTAACATCATTGTGTCTGAGTTTGCCACATAAATAACATGTGAGCTACATTGGACCCTTGAGACACTTAAGAGGGACAGTAGGTGCTGTGCAGATAGCTCTGGAGGACACCAGGCACTTGTCAGTAGAAACTCAGCATCAACATAAAACAGAGTCTATAAGTTGAACTGATCTTCCCATTCTTCAGTGCATATGACTAGGAATTTCCAGTTTCCAAGGACCTAGAAAAGAAACTCAAGTAACTCTTCTCCTTTCTCCCAAGCCCCTCCCTCTATTTTCTACACATTTGGGAGGTATCATTACACAGGCATAGTTGACTATGTATAGGGAGGTAATAGAACTTATTTTCAACACTTTGTTCTCCCAAGAGGTTTGAAACTAGGACTGAAAGTTTAAAATGTTCAGTCACTTATTTCCATTGACTAGTCTCCTTCCTGAATCTGTCTGAAATTCTCCAATTCTACTTCAAAGGTTTCAGGAGTGCTGGCTAAGTGATCTACATAAAGACCAGATATGCATTTTTATTATACCTCAGCTGTGTTATTGCCTCAAATTCTGTACAGTGAATCTCATCGAATATTTTTGCACTTAAATCTGACATTAAAGTTCTTGTATAGGTAGATTTTTTTTACACTTTTATAAGATAATTCATTAAAGTGAATAAAGATGAATTAATCTAAGAATCTAAATCTTTTTTTCTCTATATAGTTTGGCTTGGATAGATATGGAATAACAGACTGATTATTAAAGCAAAGCAAATAGTAAATTCACGTGGGAAGATTATAATGTGTTAGATGTGAATACTCTTTAAAGAGAGCAGTCGACCACAAAGGCTTATTTCTTCTTTTTCAGTATTTATATGCTTGAAAAGTGTGGGCAGGTGGTTCTGGGGAAGCGTGATTTTGCTTGCCAGGAGACATTTAGCAGTATCACTGCTGGGAGGTGAGGATTGATGCTGGTGTTTCTAGATGCCACTCGAGATGCTGAGAACTCCTCCTCTTAAATTATTTAGCCTCAAATGTCAATTATATTAAGGTTGAAGAACTCTGTCATATACCAGTTTGGGAATTGGCAGTAGTTAGCTGGTTTAGTTAAAGTCACTAAGCTTAAGTTCTTCAGTCCTGGAACTAATTTATATGAAGAAAAGAGGCTCGCTTTTCTTTAAATTAGTGTGCTTTAAAAAAAAATTCAGATTTATTTTATGTGAGTATTCTGTCTTCATGAACACCAGAAGAGGGCGCCAGATCTCATTATAGATGGTTGTGAGCCACCATGTAGTTGCTGGGAATTGAAGTCAGGACCTCTGGAAGAGCAGCTAGTGCTCTTAACTGCTGAGCCATCATGGTCTTTTTCCTTTTTCAAGAGATTTTTATTTATTTTCTTGAGGGGAGGGAAGCATGTGCCATAGTTCACTTAATGGAAGTCATGGGACAGCTTGAGGAGTTGTTTCTCTCCTTCCACCGTGTGGGTCCTGGGGTTTGAAATCAGATCATTTGGTTTGGCAGTAGCAACATTTACCTGCTGAGCCATCTCTCTGGCCTGAGAAATGCTGTTTATTCCTGTTCCCCACCGACATGGTGAGAAAGTACACTTTAACTACTCAAATTACCTAAATGTGATAGTTAGCTAATCTATTCTGCAATTTTGGGGGGGGGGGACGATAAAATCTTTGGGTTTTTTTATAGTCCTAAGTTTTCAGAGTTTCACTGATGAAGATTTATATGTAAAATAGAAGGATTTCTTGGCATAGGTATGGTGGCTCAAGCCTGGAGTCCCAGCACTCAGGAGGCTGAGCCAGGGTTGCTGTGACTTCTAGGCCGGCTCAGCCTACAGAGTTTTTCTGTTTTTTACATTTTACTATGTAGATCCACTGTTCATCTTTAGGACTTTTTTTTTTATTATTATACTCTATTTGTTTAGTGTGCATATGCAGGCATGTGGAGCTCAGAGAATAACTATTGGGAGTTGGTTTTCTCTCTATTATTTGAGTTCAAAGACTGAACTCAGGTCACTGGGCTTGAGAACATACGTCTGTCCACAGAGCCAGTCTCTCAGCCTCATCTTCAGGGAGTTTTTCTTAGTCCAGAGGGATTTGATCTTTGAGGTGTGTTTTCATTTTCCCATGCCCTTTCATTTTAAAGTGTATAAACGAGCAGTCATCCTATACATTACACAGCACTGATGGATTCCTAAAGTTACTGAAATACTGACTGAATTCTTAATTTAGGAAACTAAATGTAGTTACTGGATAATGAAAAAGAGTTGTTCAGCCTATGTTTTCAGCATAACTTTGACTTGTGATTTCATGTATTATTTTTCTTTCTTTCTGGTAGGCATTCAAGGATATGCTGTATTCAGCTCAGGACCAGGCACCTTCTGTTGAAGGTAAGTTCAATTAACTCAGTCACAGAATAGCTTTATTTTTAAGGAAAAATCTTTTAAACACCAGGCTATGAAATGAATACTGTAATTTGTTCTATTATATATGTCTTTTGGTTTTGGATTTATTTGTTTGTTGGTTGGTTTATTTATTTATTTTAGTATTTTAGCTTTTGTTTGACTGATCACATCCAACCTTGTGATGGATCTTGTATTATATTCTTGAATTGTCTGCTATTGTTTGGATACAAAGTGTCTCCCATAGGCTCATATATAAAGGTTTGATCCTAGCTGCTGACACTAGTGTAGAAAGTTCTGGCAACTTTTGGAGATAGGCTGGGACCTATTTGGAGTAAGCAAGTCATTGGGAATGTGTCCTGGAATGACAGGCCTTGTCCTCAGACCCTTCTAGTCTGACAGCTAGTGTTCTGCCATGAGCTGAGCTGCTGTATTCCACCAGATGCTACCTGCCGCAAGCCGTGGCCCGGAAACAACAGAGCTACAGTCATGGACTGAAGCCTCAGAGACTGCGAGCCAAAGAAAATTGTTCTTCCTTTTAAATTGGCACATTGACAAAACAAAACAAAACAAAACAAAACAAAAAAAACACCCACTTCATCTTAGAACTGTAAATCATACTGCTTTAGTCCAGTGTTTTCTGATGCCTTCCTCCCTCAGTGTTTACGTCCGTCTGGTCTTAGTTTATAATCAGTTAGGCAACACAACTTTTGTGTTTATACAGTACATGAAGTTTAATAACAAAGTTGTTTTTTGGTTTTTTGGTTTTTCAAGACAGGGTTTCTGGCCTGGTGGTGGTGGCGCACGCCTTTAATCCCAGCACTTGGGAGGCAGAGGCAGGTGGATCTCTGAGTTCGAGAGTTCGAGGCTAGTCTGGTCTACAGAGTGAGTTCCAGGGCAGCCAGGGCTATACACAGAGAAACCCTGTCTCGAAACAAACAAACAAACAAACAAACAAACAAAAAAAGACAGGGTTTCTCTGGATCTGCCTCTGCCTCCCAAGAGCTGGGATTAAAGGCGTGCGCCACCACTGCCCGGCTAATAAAGTTTAAGACAGGATTTTAACTTCAACTTCTTTTTTTATAATTTATGTATTGTGGTGGGGCATGCCATTGTATGCTTATACAGAGGTCACTATGTGGGTTCCAGGGATTGAACTAAGGTCGTCAGACTTGGCAGCAAGTGTCTTCACTTGCTCAGCCGTTTCACCAGCCCTTAAGCTTCAGGGAAACTATTTGGTGAAATAGATGATATCTAAAAAGTACTTCTGTCTTCATTCTCTTTTTCTGTTCCACACAGATCTGAAGTTTTAGTAGAGTTAAAAGCTTTGGTGCCAGAGGAATATTTTTATCTTAAACTCAAGGTTACCAGTTTTGTCTCACAATCAGCAAACCTGGGGGTGGGGGTGGTCTTTCAATTTAAAACAATAAAAAAAAGTATTCCTTTGTTCATATCTCACACCAGTTGAGATAGGATATTGAGGGTGGGACACAGGCATTGTATTGCTTGGGATAGATATAGATTGTAAGCCATCTTCTAGTGATTATCTCTCTCTCTCTTTTTTTTTAAGTTTATTTATTTTATATGAGTACACTGTTGCTCTCTTCAGACACACCGGAAGAGGGCATCAGATCCCATTACAGATGGTTGTGAGCCACCATGTAGTTGCTGGGAATTTGAACTCAGGACCTCTGGAAGAACAGTCAGTGCTCTTAACAGCTGAGCCATCTCTCCAGCCCATGATTCTCATAGATATATTTGTATAACCACATTTGAGCACTTCTGCCATAAATGTTAAATACTTTCAGTAAGATTAATGCTAACCCTCCTTTAGACATTAATTAGCCAGTAGGCTTATAGATTTCTTAAGTTCATTGATAATTTGTTATTTATATAAGGACCAATTTATTTATTATTGATTGATTTATTGAAGCAGAGTCTCATATAGCCCCGTGGCTTCAGACTCACCAGGTAGCCTGAATTACCATAAATTGGTCCCTTCTACCTGTACTTCCTGAACATTAGGAATTTAAGCATGTGTCATCACGTCTGGACATATAAAAAATGTTTTTTTAAATAGTATCTAATGGATAATTATTTTTAAAATGCTTATTATGGATATAAGTAATAGCTGTACTATGTAATTTAGATATGTTAAATGTTTGTAGCTTATTGTTAAGATTAAAGAACATTTATAAAATTTCTGTTTGTTCTCCAAATGCAGTCTATGACGTCTGTGATTTGGCACTAGAGCAAGCTTTTAATAAACATTATAGGGAGTTATATAACAACAACTTCCACAAATATCGGAAACAGTAAAATCTGGAGGAATTGAGTAAGTTATGGACTTTGGCTGATAGTAATGTGCCAATACTACTGACTGTGGTCGAGTGTTCTATAAGGTCTCCATGACAGGGAATGGGTGGAGGTGTGTGGGACTACTCTGTACACTCTTTGTCACTTTTTGGTAAATTTTAAATTATTCTAAAGTGAAAATGTTATTTTAAAAGAAAATAGATACCATAAGGTTTTATACAGCTGCTAGAAGCTAAATGTAGATTCAACACTAAGGTTTTCTACAGTTCTAAGGCTAGGGCAGAAGAGAACATAATTTCAAAGTGCATGTGAGAGAGCCATGGAAATGGCTTAGGAGTAAAGGTGCTCACCATGCAAGCCAGATGACCTGAGTCTGGTTCCTGGGAAGGAGAGAATGAACTCTGTAGAGTTGGTCTCTGACCTTTGCACATGTGCTGTGGCATGTGTTTCTACACATACGTCATGCATACACACACTACTAAATTTTTTAATCTTAAATGTGTAACACACACACACGTTCCTCAGGAAAGGTCAACTTTGAGCAAGAAATAAAAGAAAAAGTTTTCTTTCACAAACTCTATGAAGAGTGCTTGGTTTGTGTGGTGGAGAGGATCTCTAACAGCAGTTTCACAGAAAGTACAAGACACTGAGCTTTACAGGGTTGCTTCCTGTGACCCAAAAATGCCGTCTAAAAATTTATTACTATGACCTACAGGTCCTCTGTCTGGTTCTATGTTAATTTCACCTCCTGTGTCCTCCACTTGCTGGCTGCCTCCACGTTGCCTGGATGTCTGTATCTAAATCTGGCAAAGCTTGTATTAGTAGTATTAGAGCTTTGTTCTCTATCCCTTTCTTGAACCATAGATGTGTCCTCCAAGTGACCTTCTGAGTATCCAATTTAAAATAACCATTCAGTTCTGTTATCTTACACCATCCAGTTTTGTTTGTTGCTTTCCATAACACTTGTCATTATATAATGTTTTGTGGATATTTTGTTCTGTTTTGTTTTGTTGAAACAAGGTCTCAATATGCTGTCCAGACTGCCTTTTAACTCAGAACCCTCCCATCTTAGCTGAGATTTCAAGTATGGGCCACCATGCCTGTATTCAAAAGACTATAAGTCTTTTGAGATCAAGATTTTTTTTTTAACTGTTGTATGTCTAGTATCCAAAATACACACGACCTTTATACATTTCCTTGAATCATGAATAAGTAGGAGTGCATGAGTTCTTACATTCAATTTATATGAAGCCAAACTATTGTTATTGGGGAAGAGAACAAACAAACCTAGTTTGCTTCTTTATGTAGTAATTGTTGTCTTGTTTTCCTTTCATTCTCCTTTAGAATATAACATCTCATCTGCTAGCTAGCTAGATGATCAGACATTTTGTTTGTTGTTAGTGTTTTATAATGTTGACATTGTAATGTCAGAAAATATTGTCTAATGTGACAAGTAGCTTTCTTTAAAATTAGTAAAGCAAATAAAACAAGATCCTAATTTTAAAGTTCTTATGTTTTTGTGACATTGTATTGTTTTATTACCCAAGGCAGGGCAGATAGTTGAGACTATATTTTCTTTGCAGGACACTAAGTTTCTTTTGTGTTTTACATGTTTGGTATGTCTCCTTTCAAAGATATGTGAACTGTTGGTAAGGGTGAATTGTTAAGTTTTTTTGTTTGTTTGTCTTTTTTTTTTAACATTTCTTTACTCAATCTAGTTAAAATTTTAAATGATATTGAATTAATATAGAAAAAATGATGGCTTTTCTTCACACTGTTTTGTAATGCATTCCTCTTGGTGGGAAATGTACTTAGCCAACCTGAGCTAAACACATCTAGTCCATTTATGACTGTATGACCTGATGTAAGTCATTGTTTACTAGATAGACTATTCTGTTTTTCTACCAGTTTTTTCTTTAATCTCACCACTTACCCTCCAGTCTTATTTATGGGTTTTGTTGGAACATTTCACTTTCGATTTATTTTTGATTAGCAGATGTGTTACAGTTTCCCTAAGCTCTTTAGGACTGAACTCTTACTGGTATTGAAGATAAAAGTATGCTTGTAAATAATTCATTTTGATTATCTGCTTGAATGATCTGAGTCCACTTCGGGCATTTTCTTGTGTCTCACCTCTGTCCCTAGATCTTTGTTGTTTTGAACAGATGTGAGCCTTTTTTCTTCTGAATATTGGAGTGCATTTCTAAAATTCACGAAGTAGTTTCTGCATGTGTAGGATTACTATTAAGTGTACATTCATGATACATTACTTTTCATGATGTTTACAATCTCATCTCAGTCTCCATTTCCTTTTGTGTTAGGTTGTCTTATTATCTCTGAAAATTATTTTTCATAGTTTTAATGACCTAAAAATAAAATCTTTGGCATTTATAAAAGAAAACTGTATCAATCCGTTAAGCTGGCAGCTACAAAGAATAGCTTTTCTTGTTTTGTTTGGTGTTATTTTGACATTATTTTTTCAAACACACTTTTGCTTTTGATGCGTTTGTTGTATGAGGAGACTAGAGTGTGGGGCGGTAGTGGAGTGCTTGTGCTATCTCTAGCAACTCTGAGAGCTATAGAGAAACAGACGACTAAGAATCGAGATAAGAGTCAAATCATCTATTAATATTTCTTTAAAGATTTTTTAAAAATCTTATACTAACTTCTTA